TCTGTGCTACCTAGCTAAGCCCAGGCAAACTAAGCAAGTGTACACTAATTTGTCCAGTTCAAAGAAGTCTGCAACTGCTTGTTCAAGACAAATTCTAGATGACCCAGGGTCCTTCAGAAGAAGTTGAAGCATTTTAAGAATGTAGAAATTACCCACTTTACAGTAACTTTACAAAGGCAACACTGTGACGGGGAAGCCTCATAAGGCATCACCAAATTTCCCACAAACTTTCCCCTGATCAGAAAATGTCAAGCTCTAAAACAAACCGTCATTTCTAGACCTGAACAGGAAAAGACCTCCCAGGTTCTGCTCGGCAGATGCAAACTATTTGCCTAACTGCTGAATCTGCCCACTTTGCAAAAAACCACACCATTTGTAAGCCGCAGAAATAAGGGCCCGCTTGTCTTCCTACTATAGCATTTCTCACTGCGCTTGGCAGACAAGGTAAGATTAGGGGCTCACCCAGGAAGGTACTGAGTTTTTGTTCTTTTCAAAGACGATTTGTTACCAGTTATTGGTGTCAAGGCCTGTGCTCTAGCCTTCCTAACCAGCCAGACACTTACCCACTTATCCTCAGCAAGCCGATTAAAAAGACAAACCGTGAAAAGCAGAAGAGAGAGGTTTACTCGGTGTCACATTACAGAAGAACGCCAGAAAGACCCAGAAACCTCACCACCTCCAAGCATAGTTGCAGGCCAGGTGTGGTCCTGCCTAACCCTGACCCATGAGTGTCTCAGCTCCTGGCTCTCCTGAAGGGTGATCTCAAAGCTGCCATAAGTGTGTGAAAGCTTGGGTCTCCAGGCTTCAGCCTTCTTTTTACAACATGAGATTCCCAGGAAAAAATCTAATTTCTTGGAGGCCACAGTCAATGATAGCCAACAGGAGAGACACAAATGCAAATATCCTTATTCCTACCAGGCCAGTTATGGTCTTGCTCTGAGAGTTTAAGGCAAGAATCAGTCAGTACATACCCAGCATGAGGACTGGGGAGTTGGCTCAATGATTAAGAGCACTGGCTGCTCTTGCAGGGAACCTGGGTTTAGTTTCCAGCACCCACATGGCTACACACAAGCCTCTGTAACCCGAGTTTTAGGGTTTATACCCTCCTCTTCTAGCACCAGGCACACACAAATATACAGGCAAAATACCTATCAACATAAAACATGTTGGTTTTAATCATTATTTAAAAAAAAAAAAAAAAAAAAGCACAGAGCAGCAGATGAGTGAAGAGAGGTGTCCTGCTTGACAGGCTATCTAAAATTCAGTGGGTGGGAGGAGGTTAACCTTTCATCCAGATGTAGAATATGAGTCATGAATCAAGAGATTAAAGAAGGGCTCATGCCGTCACCCTGAAACTGAGGAACACCAATGTTCCCCAGGGCAAAGAAATCTCAAAACAAGTCAATTCCGCACAGAGCACACGCTGAACACTCACAAAGTGGAAGCTCTGAGCTACAAGTTCCTGGCATGCGAGGGGAGCTCAGGCTCACACCGTGGAAAGCCTGCCTCTCTTGCTCAAGCCCCTCAGGAAAGAGCAATGAGGCTGGAAAGTCCAGTCTAGCAGCATGGAAGGTTATTGATGGGCCACTCACTATGCCTGTCCGCCTTTCCACCAACAGCAGCTGCACAGAGATGTCTCATTAGCTTTTGCTTTTGTTTTTAACTACCCTGGTCCATTTAATCAGCAGTGCCGCCTTTCAGAAGAAAACGATTCTCTGTACCAGGTGATTTATCTGCAGGGTAAGGGCCGATAGGTCAGCTGTAGTTCACAAACCAAATTCTTTCAGCAGAGTTGTTTTTTTGTTTGTTTTTCCACCCTCTGAAACCATACTTTCTTTTGAATTATCAGGGCCTGGTAGAACTTGTCTGTACAGCCACAGCAAAGTCCCCACTTCTGCAAGTGAACATTCGCACACTTGAAATGGGGAGCCTCTGACAGAGGACAGAGACAGGGGAATGCAGTCTGTCATAAATTCCAGCTGCTCAGGTGCTAACCTGAGTGGAAAGCGAAGGTGAGTCTGTGGGCACTTTTATTTCCTACCACTGCTTTTGCATTCTTTGTGCTCAGCAGAGGTGAAAACTAAATACTATGGCGCACTGCCTCTTCTTTCCAGACCAGCTGAAAATCAGTGACAATGGCCCACACAAGGCAGCACTTCTCATGGTCTCTCGGGCTGCTTTCTGACTCACGCTGAGCTAATCACATCATCTTAGCAAAGCAGGAGTCAGATAAAGACGTGGGCTCTGGAGCAGGTTCCAGGCTCCTCAGCTGTGTGACCCCGAGCAAACTAAACTGCCTGTGTCCCTGTTTCCTCAGCTGTAACCACAATATCCATCCTATAAGGTGCCTGCGGAGTCTAAAGAGCCATCTTTGCCCACATGGTGGGTGCTTAATAAATATTAGTTACCTCATCGTGTTCACTGCACCAATGTACAAGTTCAGGTTCGGTACATTGCAGAGCTTTAAAACAACAACAACAAACAAACAAAAACCACGGTGATTCCAGGCAAACACCTTACTTCATCTAGTTGCTGTTCATATGCTAGCCTCCTGAACCGACATTCCCACTACATGTACCCGGTTCCAGTCCACCTGTAATACATCCTCTCTGTGCATTCATGTCTCACAGTCTCTTTCCAACTCCATAACCACTCTGCATATTTTTTTTTCCTTTTTGCATTACTAGAAATTGAACCTAAGGCCTAGCTAGCATAAGCCAGACAAGCACCCTGTCCCTAAGCTACATCCCTAGACTTTCTTTTCAGTTGAGGACAGTATTGCTAAGCTGTTCATGCTGGCCTTAAAGTCACTCTGTTACTCGAGTAGGCCTTGAACGTGGCATTCTTCTCACTTAGCCTCCCAGGAGGCTGAGACAGATTATAGTCCTGAACCACCATGCCTGGGTAGCCCTAAACTTCCTTTCCCCTGCGTGGTGTGCTGGCCCTGCTTCCTTCCTACAGTGTAAACTAAGAGCTGTTCTTAGAGCCGGGACAACACAGGCACACATAAACGCTAGCGAATATCTGCTGGGCAACTAAATCACGTTTATACCTAGTAAGTTTCTCTACAGCTTTAGATAACCTATTCTTCCACTAATACTAATAATAGTCAACGTAGCCGGGTGGTCAGTGGCACACGGTTTTAATCTCAGCACTCAGGGAAGCAGAGGCAGGTGGGCCTCTGTGAGTTCCAGGCCAGCCTGGTCTACAGAGTTTAAGGATAACCAAGGCCGCACACACAAAAAACCCGATCTCGAAAAAAATAAACATAAATATTCGGTGTATTTTAAACTGCAGCTAACATTTACAAGGTGCTTACGACAGATGAGATTCTACAAGGATAACAAACTCCTTCAAACCTCAGTTAAATTGTCTGAACTCCCTTTTACTGAGGAGGAGCCAGGAAGGCAGCTCAGCAGGGTGGTGGTGCCTACCATCAAGCCTGACAACGCGGGAAAGCTGACTCTCACAAACCCGTCCTCTGACCTCCGCACGTGCACAGACAGCCACATGCAAACTAAGTCAGGATATTAAAAGAACGTGCTCAACGTCACAGGGGCACTATTTCCACCATGCCCTGACTAATCTGTTTCCCCTACAAAAGAATACTCCACTGGCTTTACCAATTCCGGTGCCATCCGCTCCAGCATAAAGCTTTTGCCCAAGCAATTATGAGCAGGGTGTCTCTACTATATTAATATACAGTTCACTCCAGGCTCTCAGGCTCTAACTTCCGTGGGTCCCGCATGGCGAGTTCCCGGAAACAAGTTTTGAGGCTATAGGAACCCTGTAGAGTTAGTTCTCTTATTAGTACGGGGAGAAGGCGAACTGTAGCTGTCCCCTGCCCGTGGCCCCGCTCCCCTCCCCTCCCCGCCCCGCGCTTGAAGTTTATCTTCATTTATGGCCGTGTGTGTGCACATATGTATGTGCCAGACGGCATCAGATGCCCTGGAGCTGGGGCTACAAGCAGCTGTAGGTGCTGGAAATCAAAGTCTAGTCCTCTAAGAGCAGCGAGTTGAGTCCTCTCCAGACCCCTTAAGCATCCTTTATTCGACACCTCTGAGACCTTCCACGTGTCGGGATATACAGGTGATCTAGAGAAAGGACCAGGGAGGAATCCAGCACCAATACTGCCAAACTGAGGGTTGGGGCAGGTGCACTGAGCTCACCCTTCCTCCTCAAGCCCCGGGTAAGCTTCAAAGCCTAAGGTTTGGTCCAGAACTAGACGTTAAGGACTCCGGTACTAGAGGGTCCCCTGTCATCCTGGGCTTCACAAACAAACCCCCCGTTTCTGGCATCCCTTGAAGGTTTTAAGTCTCCATCCGGCCAGAGATGTCCAAGGTGTCTCCAAATCGGAGGCGGTCAGTTCCAAGAAGCGTCCGCCAGTGGGCTTTTCAACGGAGAACCGAGATCACCTCCTAGGCCGCCGGGGCAGGACCACTGCAAAACCCACCGGTGTCCCAAACTACCGGGCCCCGCCACAGGCCTTGGCCCGGCTCCCACCCGCCTCGGGGTCCCGCCCCCGCGCGGCAGGCTACCCGCCAAGCAGCTGGTCGGCAAGCTTCTCCCGCGCGTCAGTGACTCGATAGAACCGCGGGTATTCCGAGCCCCGGCGTCCCCGCCCCCGGCGTCCCCGCCCCCGGCGCACTCGCGCTCCGTCCACGCCCCCGCCCGAGCAGCAGTTGCCCTCCCGGCCGGGGTCGGGTGCGCGTGTGGCGTAGGTCCCGCGGGAAGGGTCGGGGGCGGAATTCGGCAAACGTCCTCTCCCCGGGCTGCCGGCTTCCGCAACCGCCGAGGAAGCGACCCCGCGCGGCGGCGGCGGCGGCGGCGGCGGCGGCGGCGACCGACCGACTCGGCAGCCCAGCAGGAAACGGCTCCCGAGCTGCCAGCGGCGCCGGGCGGAGCCGCGCGGGCCGCGAGGTGGCTCTGCCAGTCCCAGCGCGCCGGGTCGGCCGTCCACGTGTCTCGGCGTCACGTCCGCGCGCGCCCCCGGGGCTTGCGTCAGCGGCCGCTCCCGAAGCGGGTGGACCAGGGCTCTCTGCGCCCCGGAACGCCGCCGGAGGAGGGCACCGCACGGCCGCGAGCCCGGAGAGCGTCGACCGCTCCGGGAGCCGCCGAGAGGATCGGCGCGGTCCGGTCCCCGCCCCTCCCGGTGGCCGGTCGGGTCCGCGCCGGGTCTCCGGGCTGGGCGCCGTGGCGTTGCCCCGGAGCCGGCCACCCGCGGGGCGCGCACCGCCTTAACCCGGGCGGCCCCGCGGCAGGCAGACGCCCGCAGGTCCATGGTGGGTTCGGAGCGCGATGAGCCGCCCGTCCTCCACCGGCCCCAGCGCTAACAAACCCTGCAGTAAGCAGCCGCCGCCGCCGCAGACCCAGCACGCTCCGTCCCCGGCTGCGCCCCCTGCCGCCGCCACCATCTCGGCTGCGGGCCCCGGCTCGTCCGCGGTGCCCGCCGCGGCAGCGGTGATCTCAGGCCCCGGCGCCGGCGGCGGGGCCGGCCCGGTGTCCCCGCAGCACCACGAGCTGACCTCGCTCTTCGAGTGCCCGGTCTGCTTCGACTATGTCCTGCCCCCCATTCTGCAGTGCCAGGCCGGGCACCTGGTGTGTAACCAATGCCGCCAGAAGTTGAGCTGCTGCCCGACGTGCAGGGGCGCCCTGACGCCCAGCATCAGGAACCTGGCTATGGAGAAGGTGGCCTCGGCAGTTCTGTTTCCCTGTAAGGTAAGTCCGGCGACCACCGGCAGAGCTGCCACGCGACCTTACAGGGTTCTGGTGTCCTCCAGCGCACTCGGAGGCCCTAAGAGGCGAACAGCACGTCACTGCTTCCATCTGTGTGTGTCTGTCTGTCTATCTCTCTGTCTCCCCCTTTCCCTCTCTCCCTTTGAGTGCGCGCGCGTGTGCGTGTGTACCTTGTCCATTGTCTCCGTGCCCACCTGTCCATTTTGGGAACTAGCTCAGGGTTGATGTTTGCCAGAGCACCGACTCTAAGTTGTCACTTGCTGACGCTTAGAAGCACCCCAGCTCTCCCAACCCAGTGCCGCCGCGTCCTTTGCAGCATGTGCTCGGTAGGGATGGACAGCTTAAACGAAAACGTGGACAGGGAAGCTGGCCACGGACATTGTGGAGGAAGGAAACAGCACGGTTTCCAGCGCTAAGCTTGACAGGAAGGGTCCTGGATTCCTCCTGGACCCAGCACCTAAAACCGGAGAGCTCTTGGGAGTGCAGCTACAAGGGGAGGGGGAGGGGAGTGGCGGGGAGGGGGATTGAGATTCTGCCAGCTTCACTGGAGTACAGAGAAAACCCTGCCAGCCACGCCTTCTCTCATCTTCCCAGGGTTGGGAAGGACTCAGAAGTTGTGGCTGCTGTTTTGTTTTTTTTACTAAGTGCAATGAACTCGAATCCACCAGGACTTAACGTAGACACTCAAGAGCTTTATTAGTTTTCTTCAGTGCCAGCATATTATTTCAAGAGTTACCTGTGTCCTGGGGGGGGGGGGGGGGTGCCGCAAGGGAAAGTCCAAGCTCGTGGACTTTGTCTTCCTGTCTACACCGGCTTGTGTTTAGAACCTGTGTTTATATCCTCACAGCTAAATATAGAATCATTTTAATGTCTGTCTCTGAAAGCTGTGAAAAACCCGCACAGAGATGATGCTTTTTCTCTAGCAACCAGCTCTTCAAATCCTCAGCTGCTTCATGCCTGACACTTGACCTCCGTGTCTTAAAGGACTACGTTGTGTGGTTATACTGCAACATCCTGTTGCCTACACCGAATCCCTATATTTAAAAAACCCTCACACTCTCATTTGTATACCGCTTCATATTCTAGACCTCCGCTGAGGAGTTCTTTTTCTGAACTTACAGGTGGAGATAATGCTAATACTTCTGAGATTTTTTTTTTATGAAAATAATTGTTCTACCTGCAACTGTTTTAAGTTGTCTTGCATATCTTTGCATAATGTTGGTTAGTTTTGAGGGCAAGAGCTGTTTTAAATTAAAAATAATTCACTGGAGAGTTTAATTTTAGGCTTCAGAGTCAAGTCAGTAAAATGAGTGACTTAATTTTTTCTTCTGCCCAGCTACTAATCCAGTTAAAATAGCTTGTTCAGATAAGGGTTTGGATGAGGGTTTAGGCTGTGAGGTTTCTAGCCTTCAGCCACCCCCCACCCCCAGCGCTTACTCACTCACCCAGCACAGGTGCAGTTCGGATAAAATATTTCCATGGCTTTTTCCCTCTTTTATTGAAAATAGGTGTTTTGTTGTTGGTTTTTTTTTCCCCCTCCTATAATACATTCTGGTTACAGTTTCCCTTCCTCTGCTCCTCAGTCTCTTCCCACCTCCCCTTCCATCTGGATCCGTTTTCTTTCTGTCTCTCATTAGAAAAGAACATGCTTCTAAGGGAAGACAGTATTAAGATAAAAAAGCTAACTCCTCAGACATGGGCAGAAAAAACAAACAGAAGTAAAAGGGCCCAAGAGAAGGCACAAGAGCCAGAGACCCACTTGTTCTCACACTCAGGAATCCCATAAAAGCACTAAACTGGAAGCTGTGATATTTACACAGAAGACCCTTTGCAGAGCCCTATAGTCCTGTTTGATGTTCTGTGTCTGTGAGTCACTCAGGGTGTTGTGTGTGTTTGTTTGTTTTTTTTTTTTTCTAGTTTCATTTACCTTCAGATTTCTTTCTTCTTGATGACTAAGTAATACTCCATTGTGTAAATATACCACATTTTCTTTATCCATTCTTCTGTTGGGAGACATCTAGGTTGATTCCAATTTCTGGCTGTTATGAATAGAGAAGCAGTGAACATGTTTGAACAAGCGTCTTTGTGGTAGGAGGAAGCATCAGTTCCCATCTTCCTGAGGAACCACTACACTGATTTCCACAGTGGCTGTACAGATTTACATTACCACCAGCAGAGGATGGGTGTTACTTTTATTCCATACCCTCACCAGCATGCACTGTCACTTGTGTTATTGAACTTAGCCATTCTGGCAGGAGTAAGGGGAAATCTCAAAGTCATTTTGATTTACATTTCCCTGATGGCCAAGGATGCTGAACATTTCTTTAAATGTTTCTCAGCCATTTGAGTTTCCTTCCTCTGTTGAGAATTCTCTGTTTAGATCTGTACCCCATTTTTTTAAATTGGATTATTTAGTTTGTTAATGTCTAGCTTCTTGAGTTCTTTATATATTTTGGATATTTGCCCTCTGTCTGATGTGGAGTAGATGAAAATCTTTTCCCATCCTGTAGGCTGCTGCTTTGTCCGAATGACAGTCTCCTTGGGTGCAGAAGCTTGTCAGTTTCCTGAGATCCCATTTATTGATTGTTGATCTTAGTGTCTGTGCTAACGGTGTTTGAGTTCAGAAATTATTTTCCTGTGCCAATGAGGTCAAGGCTATTCCACACGTCTTCTATCGAATTGAGTGTATCTGGTCTCATGTTGTCATGTTGTGGTCTTTGATCCACCTGCAGTTGAGTTGTGTGCAGGGTGATAAATAGGAACTATTTGCATACTTCTACATACAGATATCCAGTGGGACAAACACCATTTGTTGAAGGTGCCATCTTTCCAGTGTGTTATTTCTGGTCTCTTTATCAAAAATTAAGTGTCAGTAGATTTGTGGATTTGTGTCTGAATCTTCAATTCCATTTTGTTGATTAACGTCTCTGTTTTTGTGCCGCTGCCATGTTGTTTTTTATGAGATAGCTCTGCAGTACAACTTGAAATTGGGAATGGTAATACTTCGGGCGTTTCTTTCCTTATTCAGGATTGCTTTAGCTATCATGTTTTTTTTTTTTTTGTTTGTTTGTTTTTGTTATTGGTTTTTTTGTTTTGTTTTTTTGTTTGTGTGTGTTTCCAGATAAAGCTGATAATTGTCCTTTTAAAATCTGTAAAGAATGTTGGAATTTTGATGGGGATTGCATTGAATCTGTAGATTGCTTTTAATAAGATGCCATTTGAACTATGTCGATTCTACCAAGCGATGAGCATGGGAGATCTTTTCCATCTTCTGGTATCTTCTTCAGTATCTTCCTTCATCGCCTTAAAGTTTTTATCATACAACTCTTTCACTTGGTTGGTTAGAGTTACCCCAAAATATTTGATGGGGAGGACTACTGATTTCTGAGAGTTAATTTTGTGTCCAGCTACTTTGTTGAAACTGTTTATTAGCTGTAGGAGTTTCCTAGTGGAATTTTTTAGGTCACTTAATGTATACTATCATCTGCAAATGAAAGTACACATGTGACTACTTTTCTCAGTCTATTCCGTAAGAATGCAGCTGGGTCAAGCTATCATGCAGACCAGAAACCAAGCTTATGAGAGGTGTTAGGGTTACTTTTGTGTGTGCATATTTAAGATGTGTATAAACCTGGAGTGTACATTTCTTTCACCTGATTAAGCAGGGCAGCTCAGCCACTTGGTGTGGGTAAGCCAAATTTGGATGTGTACTTGCTGCAGCACCCAAAACCATTCATTGGAGTTGAGAAATATTAAGGAATAAGTCCTGTGTCAGATTGAAAACAAGGAGGGTCTGTGTACCTAGCTTTTTTAGCCTGTCACCTGAGGCTCCTGGAACCCCTGGGGACTGCCTGTCACTGTCTCCTCTTGGTCTTTCTGTGAGCTAAATGCTGCAAGGATAGTGCTGAGTATTCAATGCCCAGAGTCTCAGGAGTGGGGCAGAGGAAGCTTTGAGTCCTCGTCTCTGAATGAAGGGCCCGGCTGCCTGACTTCTAAGGAAATTAGTTTTCAATCCGTGAAAAACAGGGAGGCCGTGTGGAATGTTTTACGTTCCTTCTTTGTACCAACTAACTTGCCAGGAGGCAGCGTTTATTAGTCTGCCTCGTCTTCAGGTGAGGACCCTCATGTCTGTAGGCTTGTTAAGTGTTAATTACCTTGTCTTTGGCGCACTCCTTACTGCATGGGAATGTTGAATCAGAACTTAGATTCCAAGCTTCCAAGTTAAAATTCAAGGCTGAAAATAGTAACCAAGTCATCGTACTGTAGAAGGTAATCACGTGACACCGTCCAATGTTTAGCTTTGAACTGTTGGAATTTAAAGAATGGATGTGTTGACAAATAGGTGCCTTATGTAAAGTGTGAGGCCACATAATTAAATGTTAAATGCTTTTGATATAGGAGACTACATAAGTTGACTCAGATTTCCTCTTTAAGGCTCGTATCAAAACATTGCTCACTTAGGGTGTTTTCCATCCTTTCTTCATCGATAGCTGAGAACTTTTGACAGTCTGTTCTGTATCTCAGTGGAGAGTGGGTATAGGGAGCAATGTGAAGGTTGACATGTCAGCACATTTCACCACTCAATAGTATATTTCAATGTATTTTTATTTGTTATGTGTGTGGGCACACTTTGAGGTGGGGCTTATAGGACAGCCTGTGAGACTCAGTTCTCTCCTTCCATCACCCAGGTCAGGCTTGGTGGTAGGGGATCAAACTCAGGCCAAACTCAGCTTGGTGGGCAGGTGCGTTTTTACCTGCTGGGTGACATCAGTCAGCTATTTCACTGTCGTCTCATTAGTGTTTTGGTATCACCCAGGAGTTTCTCTACTCCATGCTGGAAATACTAAACCTCTCTAGTCTACTTATATCATCGTATGGCATGTTTCCCATTTTTATTTGTCTTCTGTGAAATTCCTCTAATACGCCTGCATATCATCACTGAATCTGAAAACCTCAGTCTTTTCTGAGGTTAGATTGCAACA